ACTTTCCTCTCCTATGTTTGACCTCCCCAATCAGTGTGAAACCCTCATTTACCATCAGCCCTGATTGTTGCCCACCTACAGAACTGATTGCTTGCTTTTGATTGCTAATGACCATTTAAATGCCATGTTTGCCATAATTACAGTCCATCTACAAAACATTGGTCACATTTTTATTCAGATTCTTTTTTTTTTCCATCGACTCTGACTCTTTCAAGAAACACATTTCACTTCCAAAAGGTTACTTTTTATTTCCTTGTGTGAACTTTGGTGTCGAGATTTTTGTGATTGATTTTGATTTTCATGGTGTTTGAAGTTGTATTCATACTGACGTACAGCATTAAATTATCCTCGGTTGTACAATAATACATTCGATTTTGCTACATTCATTTTCTTTCATTTGTGTCATTTTTTGGGAACTTTTAGCCCTTTGTTATGGCTTTCAGCTGTAATTTTTTTTTTTACATTTCTATTTCTATAGTTTTGTTTATTTACTAGTTTTTCCCTGAGACACTGATCACCTTTGTGAACCAACTCAGGTTGTATATGAGGATTAGCCAACACTAGGATATTTCGCAATCACTGTTAGTAAACCACAAACTAAGCCACAGCTTTATTCCTGTAAAGTCGGCTAACTACATTGACAAAACACTTTGTCTTATATCAGACCACAATGCTTTCTGTCACTTCCTGTTTTCAAATATCCGTTAAAAACGTGTTGTGTCTGTGTTTTCTGCCTTTCTACATCTTTTATGTCTGCTTTACTCTACAGCACTTTGGTTTGACTGTTGTTTTTAAATGTGCTTTATGGATAAAAATAGATTTGGCTTCGTTACGTCACTTCAGCCGCTAATGTAGAAATAAACTCAACTACATAGGCTGTTCAGGGTTGAAACACAATTTTCTTCTACAAACAACACAACTGTGCCTCACTGCTCAGTATGATTCATCCAGCCCTACAAGGGAGATGAAATTTATTGCTGGGGAAATTACGCAGAACCCCCGCCCTCCTCTCTCTGCGTCACATCTGTCCTGGCTACTGCCTGATTGCTTTGTGGGCACTGTTTAATTGCCAATTAGCGAAAGGCCAGGACAGCAATCATAATAGTTGTATGAGAGTTTGTGGGTTTGAGTAGTAGGCAGTGGGCAAGAGACGGAAAAACTGCAGTAGTGACTGTGATGAGTCACATTCACTTTCAAAAAGCATTTTTCTTGTTAGCATACAGGAAGTACAGCGTGAGGGAGAGAGATTTTTGGACTCAAAGATACATGGCATCGTAGCATTCTCTAAGGCTTGAAAAATACGGTTTGACATGTTGGATGTTCGGAACGTCAGTGTTTTGTAATAGAAAATAATATAATTCACCTGTAAAAGCTGTGAAGTGGCCCCAGATATACAGTAAATACATTCTTCTCTGGCAGGTGTAAATATATAGATTCCTCTCTGTCTGTGCTTTGAGCCAAAGGATGAACGGACACAGCATTGTTTTCGTGTTGACTATACAGTAGAAGAACTTGCTTTGTTTTTCTTGTTAGGATATGTTGACAATTATGTGAAATAGCTGAAGGTGGAAAGGTACAGTATGTCACCAACCCTAAACATAAGAAACCATGTAGTGACAGCATGTCTTTTTAGTCCTTCTCACTCCTGCGGTCTGTGTTGACTTTGACCTTTTCAGAATCATTTTCTCTCTTGCTTCTTTAATTTTTCAAGAATTTTACTCGGCAGTCTTTATTTTTCACTAATTCTTTTTATGTTAAAGATCATGCTGATCTAAAGTAAGACATTTTGAATTCATCTGAGTGGGCGGGTTGTGAGCTGGAAGCAGAAAAAACACATATATTTAACCGTTATTATTTATGTCAATTTTACCTGTTGGACTGAATTTACCTCGAATTGTACTGCAAAACTAAAACAAAATAAGGACAGATGTTGGATATGGTGGTTATCACACCTGCCTTACACACAGGAGGTCCTAAGTTTGAGCCCCACAGGCACCACATACTTCCTTGGCAGCACATTGGCTGCAATACTGCTGTTTTATTCAGATTCAGGAAGCACAAAAAAATCTTTATTTGATTTCAAATGTCAAATAAGTGCAGGTCAAATAAGAGACTAAAAGAAATTCAAAAACAGATCAGTTGGTGATTGAATGGCTACATTATTTTTGTTAAAACAAGATGTGAATATTTTTCTTACTGACCTGGTTGATCTCTTTCTTTTTCCTCCACTTATTTTCTATCAGTGTATTTTTCTTTACTTAGGAACTAAAACTTTTCCATTAGGAAACATTTATGATAATTGCCAGCTTATTTCCATTTTTCCTTCATTATGTAGGTGACGATGGGGTTGAAAATATAATGGTATACGAGGGTGTGTTAATCCAGGGAAATGGTCAAGACAAGTGAGGACAGTATGTGATGCTTTAAAGCAGAGGTGAAGACGGAGGTTTTTCCTTCCAAGAGATGGAATGTGAACAAAGTACAAAGACAGATATTGCTCAGATTTGCTGGTTTGATTGGACCTGACACACTGTGCTGACATTTGGCAAGGACAATTGATTATTCAATAAGTGTCGGGCCATGATGTATCACAACCAAATCACAGCGAAGGTGTCTGGGCAGCAGCTCCCCACTGCTGCTACAGGAGCAAAAGTTGACTAGAGTAGTCAATTGAGATGAGGGGACATTTCTGCTTCTGCACACGATGTACGGAGTGTAGCAATACTGCTAAGTACTACTGTTACTGTGACCCCAGACACACATGCTGTAGTCTTTTTAAATGTTTTTTTTTTAGTCTTAATTTGTCACCAAAGTAAGATTCCACTTCTTAAATCCTCTGGTGATGTCTAAAGCAGGAGTGCTGTTTAAATGTACTTCTATACAGATCAATATTGTCAGGAACCCGGGATACAACAGAGTAACATTGTAGACACCGTTAGCACGGCAGCGCTTAAATGTTTAATTTGGTTTGCTTAAGCCGTTAAACAAATCTCCCGAGATGGCGTCCTCTTTTTATCATTAGTGTCCGAGCAGCGTAGGTACGGCACAACAAAGTAATTATAGCACACTCCTAAGAGCCCCTTAATCCGCCGTCATTAAACATAGTTTAAAAATGTAAACAACTATTAAACCGAGCTCCAAGTGCTGCGGCTTCTTGAAGAAGTCTATCAGGAGAAACATCGGGATTCTAGCGGCGAAGTTATTTCATTGTTTCAATTTGGCTTTTGTCCTTGAAGCTGATTGAAAACATCAACTTATTTAGTAATCGAGGTTTTTAAATCCTGCGCACAATAATGGTGACATTTTAGTTTGGAATCACTGGTGTTTTAACCTTATATTTGAACATAACAAACATAACATTCATTTAACTGTATAATATATAGCAGCACATTAAAAAAAATCAGTAATTCTCAGTGGCAGCTACGACTCGATCACAGATATATTAGCGCAATTACAAAAAAAAAAAAAAGCTTTAACCAAGATGATTTTGGTTAAATCTAAAATAGATTAGTATTTTTAAATGAAAAGTATTTCAGCTTGATCCGTGTCATACAATGTCATGTCAACTAGTGGTCAAAATACAGTATAATTTATCTGAATGGCCGTCAGGTGTTTGAGGGGAAGTGACCATTCTGTACGTGCATCAATGTTTGCACTTAGAGAATTGTGTGTCATCACCACCGTTCATTGGTGGAAGAACCAAAATAAACACCAGAAGCTCTTAATAACGTACAGTATTTCTCCCAGTATTCTTACCTTAAGTGCTTTTCTGCAGCCCCGTCCCTCACCGACATCATAAATGAAAACAGTCTGGGATGAAAGCGTCACTGTTTATTCAGATGTTCAGAATATCTCTTGCCTTATGCAAGTGCTCCTCCAGTACATGACACATGTTCTAATCATTGGGTCATGTCACATTCAATGCCTCCCCCACCCTCACCCCTAACATCAAAAGTCCCACACGGAGAAGCAGAGGAAGAAGAAGCAAAACTGACTTCCTGTTAGCATAATATGGAAAATGAGAAGAACGTGTTTGACACCCTCTTCTTAACTGTCTTCTTTCTTCAGCCCTCCAGGAGATGGGCGGTGTGTATGTGCGTAACTGTTCTGTACCTCTGATTACATGTCCTCCTCAGGGAGTTAAGGAAATAGAGAAATGGATTATATTTATATATCGGTGTGTGGACCGGAGTCATGAGGGAGATGAGGCAGAGAGTAAGGAGAGCAGGTTTCAGACAACTACGGTGCATTTCTCTGTGATATTAATATATTGCAGAAACACAGCCAGGTAACCCAGTTAAAGTCCTTTGAATGGGCTTTGGACTCTGTGAGTGTGTTTAACTGTGAGACTTTTTATTATTCATATTATTATTAGTATTTTTTTGCTTATTGTGTTTTTGTATTTCTTTAGATGCGTTCTGTTTCAGCAGCATTTTCTTTTTTTTTTTTTTTTCTTTTTTTTTAGTTTGTTATCAAGATGTCTCTCTCCAGGTATATTCTTAACATTTTTATTTACTTCTTCAGCGGTGACCCTAGACTTCTGCCTGTGCCCATTAAATCAACCTGGGTGCATTTACATATAGCAGCAGCTCCTGCTGCAGTCAACAAGAATGGTGTCACAGTAACTATGGAAATGCTACATAATTATGCACACGCAGGACATTGTGCTTGGCTGGAAATATACTGACATTTATTCCAAGGGTGAAAATATGTTATATTTCTGTGACATAATACATAAAATAAATTAAAAATTGAATTGAGATCAGCTCCTATCACACTTCCTGCAGCTGAATAATTTACTTATAACCTATTCAGCCATTTAGTTTGTTAATAATGATGATTTTTATTTGATATTTATTTAGTTTGTTAGTTGATTTTTTTCAGTTCCACCAAGACACTCCAGCATAAATGCTTTTCTTTCTTTGATTTGTATAAACCAAGATAAATGGTTTATACATTTCTTTTCTGCAGGCGCTGGAGGATATGAACAGACTCACAGGACATGTATCTGATCACGGCACACACATGTACAACACGTACAACACATAGAGTACTTCCATTACCTTCTACCGCTGTCTCAGAGTGGTTTCCAAATGTGGCAGCAATAAGAGAATGTTGAGGGGCTTTTAGTGAGCTGAAAAAGGGACAGACCAAAAAGAAAAGAAAAAATGTTATTGTCTCCAGGGCACTTTAATCTCCAATGTGGTTTTACTTTCATTTCATTGTTGAGAAAACTCCGCCTCCTAGCCTTTGCACACACTCCCCTTGTCTTTCAGGTTGTCTTGTTTTAATGATTACATCCAGTAATGTGTTTGTGCTGCAGGAAAATGTGGTCTTCTTCATTCGGAGGTGCGTCTTTTTTTCCAGATCCACAGCCGTTAGCTCGGACTAACTCCGACGTCTTCATTTACAGTATCACTCTGGAGTTCAAACACGGTACTGCAGTACATTCTGGGTTCTGTAACAGTTACTTCATTAATCCCCCTAACCTTACTGGGTTTCTAACATGCAATGAACTTGAGCACACACTCATGCCCCGTTCACAAACACACACAATTATCATGCAGGAGTGTGTATGTACACATGGGTGTCACAACTAGTAACTTCTCACCATGACCTCGCCTTTCAGAGTGGCATAAGGCTGAATCTCCTTAAGGGCAGAAGGGATGTCACGTCAGGACTACACACACACACACACACACTTGCAAACACACACTGAATACCATAATGTGCAGACATCTCCATAGACCTTCTTGCATCATTGCTTTCTGTCCCGGAGGCACAGATCTCCAGGTGTCAGAAGGAAAAAAAAAAAAAATCTTATATTCTTATAACATTTTAAAGTCATGTTTTTAAATAATAAAATAATATTATAATATAATATATTTGTAGCCTTAGAAATATACAAATGCATTGTAATAAACTGTAAAGTCAGTTCTGCTTTAGGTTCCATCCTTATATTTTGTTCAATTCCACTGAGAAATAAATAATCAAATATTAATCTCTAAATATTATTTAATTTAATTTCTTCAATTTCTATCTGAGTATTGTATAACATCAAATAAGAGTTTATCATCGAAGGGGAAAATAATCACAGTGCTGAGAACTGGCGCCATGGTAACGGCAAACAAGTTGATTAATCTTGTGCCGATTTCGTTGTGAGCTCTGTTTTCCGTGTGTGCCACGGGAAATGCAGACTAAAGGTATTGAATTAAAGAGATATTACAGTCACATTGCGGCCAGAACCATTTCAAATCAAACATGGGTAATGAGGCTAATTTATTTGGGGTGACCGCAGAGGAACTTTCAAGCTGAATAAATAATATAAAAGCAAAATAAAGTGCAGTAGCTGCTCAAACTAGGGTACATTCATCACAAGTGTCCGACCCAATTCTGTTCATCAGGCAGACCTGAAAAAGGGGCTCAGGACTAATAACCTTGTGCAACATAGCTGAGAAACCTTTGGGCCATTTTGTTGGAGACTATTTCTCAAGCTGAGTTCATGACTGTTACTTTTTTGTTTTTTTAAAACACTTTCCCATGTCACTCAGATGATCTTCCTGCTCCTGGAGCTGTGTGTTGACGGAGGAAACAACAGAGAAATGAGGACAGAAACATAGATGTGAGTGTTGTGATGATTTATTCCTTATTCTGGCGCTCAGACACAGACACAGACTTTATTGGAGTTGAGATATTGTGACAACAATGTACACCACCGACGCACAATTGCCCAGCAAAAACATTCTCCCTAGTGCATTCTGAAACAAATACTCATCTAGCAGTGAGTAATCAGGTGTGTCTATAATCCTAATTACAGTCACATCTGCCATTTAGTCACTCATGAGGAGCCAGCCGCAGTGGAATAAACAGCTCCAAGAAATCTCAGTAATCACTGTGCTGACATTGGGTCCTGGACAAAGTCAACTCTGCTGCTGTGATGTGGAGAAGCTATGGTATTGTGCAAATTCAATTTCAATGTAAGGTTCATGTGCAGCATGCTCTTCTAACGCAGCTCAGTCTGTGTGTAAGAGTGGGGAAGTATGCAAATGAGTCTGCATAGGAGTAGGAGCTGATTGGTGGAGACCAGCATGGCAGCTAATCAAGTCACCTGCTCCAAAAGTCAGCATGCAATTGGCAACCGGTGTGTTCAGCTGCTTCAGCTCTCACTCATTGTTTGAGATCAGTGGTCTGACTATGAGGGGGAAATTAAAATGTTTTTTTTTTGTTTGTTTTCTCTAATAAGATGGGAATCAATTCACCCTACAGTGATGTCCTCCGTTCTCTTCAGGTAAACCTACAGTTCCTTTGAATATTTGATTTGGTTGTTTTCATAAAGACAGAATATTAATTTAATTTAGAAAATAAATATGTATACATTAGTTTTACAAATTCTACAACTGAACCTGCTTTTGTTGTGCTTTGAAACATCTATTGTGGCTTCTTGGAACTTGGCCTTCCACCTACAAGACAGAACATGAAATAACATTTTTTTCAATGAAAATAATGTAATTTCAAAGTTCTGTAAAATAACAATTAGGAAAAAAAGATAACTTATTTATCTATAGGTTATTTACCCTGACAAGAGAGTTGTACACCCATTGGCTGATGTATTTGGCCCTCCCACTTCCTGCGTACTGTCCATTAGGGTATTACTCTTGCAACTGTAACAGTAAAAAAGAAGTAACACTATATTAAGTTGGATGCCTTAAATACTCCTCATTTTTGTCCAGCAGCAGATGTGACCACCACATGGCTGATAAGGCAAAGGCATCAAACACTGACTCCACTGTGCTGCCACTCGTATAAGTTACTACATTGTTCTCGGTTTAACAACCTGTGTTCGACTTCAGCTGCAGAACTGTGCCATGAAGCCTCATTATTACTGGCTGTAAGGAGCGAGAGCTTCTGACCCAATGAAGATGCATTGTGTTGTGATTAGCCGTCGCTGTTCTGAGTGACTCAACTTTATTGGTTGTTACAGATCAGTGAAGCGCAAGTTGACGGCCTGGAGAGGAGGTTTAAGCAGAGCTACGGGTAAGAGATCAGTTTCCAGCCTTGTATACTTTGTTCATCACCGGTTCAGGTCGTAAGGTCACACACACCAGAAAATGTTGAGTTGTTATTGTCACTCATATTTCTCCTAATAATAATACAATAATTTAGAAAACACTTTGTCACACAACTTTTATCATCAACTGGCATTTGTTTATTTTATTTATTTTTTAACAATTTCAATCAAGTTGCTTGATTTAAAAAAAAAACAATCAATAAAATCATGTTGTCACCTGTGGAGTTATTGTGTGTAACTGTGTCTGACTGGAATTATTTTGCAACTTTTACGCTAATATGGTTTGGATGAATTCATCCAGAAAGGTCTCCGCAAATTGTTACAACAGTTTTTCTTGTTGAGCCAAAAATAATGTTTCGAGTGTGAAGTGAGTGTAAATGATTCAACAAAACAGAGGTAAAAAAAAAAAAAAAAAATTATAGACGTATTATTTAGAGCTCACAATTTAGCTCCAGATAGCTATTGAGCTGTCGGTTTTTTTTGTTTTTTTTTTTTTTTTTTTTCACCAAATCACTACAACAAAAAACAAGTCCAACAGATGTTGTTTTTTAACATTGAAGCTGCAGAAACACAGGTGCATTTTTTTATACTGCAATAAAAGATGGCGACAACAGACAGAACAATAGGATCCAACAGAGAAAAGGTGAAACTGCAGAGAGGATATGGTTTTTCTAAGGTAGAGAAACCTCTGTAGAGATTCTCACCTGGACTTGGTCCAAGTGAAGCTGCGAGAACTTTGTACATTAATTCAGCAGGGAATTCAACTGGGAAATTAACGCCTATTGCGTCACCTTGAGTCATACCCCGAGCTCGGTGACACATGCGGTGCAGGCGGCAGCTGCTGGCAGTGCAGGATGTGACACAGATGATTCTGCAGAAAGTCATTAGGAATGGACAAAGCAGTAAAATCATGAAATATTCTGGAAAAACTGAAGCAAATACAACAAAATATATGGTAAATTAACCATGACATTAATTAATGATAAATAATAGTGGAGTTTGGTAAATACTGTGCAACAGGTGGTGTTATGTATTTTTTACATTTCTGGAAATTTCCATAATATTCTGCACATATTTGTGAATAATTCTTTTTTTTTTTATTAGCTTCTCCAGATAACGTACATCATTTGAACTATCGTGTTTTCCTGTTTGAATGCGGAACACTCGTGTGATTGGTTGACGCCGCTGAGTCTTTGTGTCCTCATCATTATGTTCTGTTTGTGTTCGAGCAAATAGTGTTCATTTTGGTGAAACGATAACGCCCGTAATTGGTGTTTGTCTTGTGCTAAATGCAAAGATTACGTCGATAACTGTCGTACAATAAAGACAATAATAAGACAGGCACACAGAGGCTTATAAGACATGGCAACATTAATTTTAATGGAGTATAAATATAAATGCATCACCTTGGATCAAACAGGCAGTTAGCAGCCGATAAAGTCAAGATGGTAAAGTCAACATTTATACGCAGCTTAAACTTGACTTTTTTTATACATGGAAGATTAGGTTTTGTACAAAAAAAATACTTTAGTTATACTATAATAAGGAAACTAATAAACAAAGTGCTCTATTTTTCTTGTATAGCAAGATGAATTGCTTTTCTGACATAATGAAGATTTCCGGACTGATCCAGCCTTTTTCCTGCTATTTATGATCATGTAAAATGCAGGAACTCAAGGTGTTTATGAGCGTTTTTTGTTTGTTTTTAATTTATATCTAAATGTTTTATGGTTGTCATAGTTCAGAGACTCAGTCCTCTAAGCTTAAAGTACAATAAAGTACAGTGTTTTGGATGTGAGGCAGCCATAACACCGTGTTCCCCTGCAGATGTTTTTGTTGGAGACGGTAGTAGCTCCTTTCATGTCCTGAAGTTGTTTTGTGTTGACATCTGCTATAGAAGGTTTTTCATTTTCTGGAAACTTTATTGAAAGCGATGTGTTTTATTTCTAGCGGTGAGAGAAGAAACGCTAAAGAATCTCTGTGTAAAACACCATGCTGTTTACATTGAGAGCCGGTGCTGCAATAAATCCAAACTGACGGTGGTTGTCTTCTTCTTTTCACACAGAAACATCAAGTTAAACCTTGTTCCTGCTCATAGGTACGCAAGTACTCAACTGTCCTTGTTGTTTATAGTCTCAACTTGCGCACTTAGGCTTGAGTGACCTTTGACCTCTGAATCATCTGAGGATATTTCTAATCCTCAAATTATTCTTTATGTCAATCACTTCAACAGCACTTTCTCTACAGTTGTGTTCTTCACAGTAATGTATGTCTGTATGGATATATCTCAAGATCGCATTCCTCTTGGGTAAAATGATCCGTCCAACAAAATAGAAGACTTAAGCTTCTGGTCCTCTACAACTCATATTTAAACACAAAATTTGACTATATTGTCATTTGGTTCAATGCCATTAATGAAGGCATTAATGAGTAGATTTAGCTAAATCTGAAACATTGTCTTTTTCAAAACAAACTACTTTAGCCGCACAGTTAAGTCTTTTTCCAGTAGGTGGAACCAATAACTGGACTGCGAGCATCCTAAATGTCAGTGTTTGTACACAGCTTTGTCTTTGGGATGTCACTAAATATAGAACTGGAGGGCAAAGGGATAATGTTAGCATTCAGTAACACTGTTGCAACCGGGGCTGCAGTCGGGGCAGCGCCAGGCAAAGGATAATGAAATTAGTGGTAGCTGACAAGCTGGTGTTGGCATTTCTGTTACGCCTATAATACGCTGGGGAATGTGTGGTGGTGTTGGTTAGAGGGGGGCAGGTTTAAATGACACATTTATCAGCTAACGCAACCATGGTACATAATTCTTGTGCCCTAAAATAGTGAGGTTAATACAGTAACATGTGGGCCCGTCACTGGTGCGTGTCCAATTGGTTTGGTAACAATGCTGATATGGTAACGTGTGCGGCCAGTAAACACAGAGCTCTTCTGGCCATGACTAAGCAGAGCTTCGTGAGCTTGGCCGCCTGATTGAGAAACGATGTTGGCTAGGCTAGTGCCGTCGTGGAAATGTAAGTATCTGCATCTATTATTCAAGACGTAATTATGCAGTGGGCCGCTTTGTCAGCCAGTCAATCAGAACCTAGCTTTTCATTAGGCCGCCTGTCATCGCGCTATGCTGGAGGCATACCTCTCTCTCTCTCTCACACACACACACACACACACACATGCACAAATGATTTTTTTTCTACACAGCACACACACAAACATGCCTGCCAACGAGCACAAACAGACACTCGGGCAGATATTCCTACACACCGTTTATTCCGCTGATGTGTCGTGTCTAAACGAGAGAAAGGTTAAATAAAGAAGTGGCAGATATTCCTACACACCGTTTATTCCGTTTATTTAAGAAGTGGTATCATGATGATGATTTTTTTTCCTCCCTCCTCTCATTTTCTCACTCCTTCGACCAATAGGCCCCCACTGGGACACAATTTAAATGTCAAATGAGACTGATTGGATTATGGCAGGGTAAAGCTGGGGAATAACACGGTTGGAGAAAGTAAGAAAAGACCTGAGAGGAGGGGGGAGACATTAGGGCTGTTTAAAATGTCCGGAGGTGAAGAGCAGCAGAGGGGTGAGAAATGATTGCGAAGAAGCGCAGTGATCTTTAAATATGGGGCAGCAGAGACCTCAGGGACTCTACATGCTCTATCATCCTTAACTGACATTGAATTTTCGACAGTTATTTATTAAAAACTTTCCCTGCGTGACTAGCCAAGGAATTTTTAAATATATATGTATTATATTTTAATATATATATTCATTAATATGCCATGATTTTGTTGATCAGTTTCATCACAACAATTGACAACAAATGTCTTTTCTAACTGTGTGTCCATCACAGCAGCATGGCGGTTTCAACACCACATGTGGGACGATATGTGTGCTTTTTCAGTAGCATATAAGTGGAGTTGAGTTACAACCAGACAGAGCAGGTACCGGTTAATGTCTGTTTAATGTCCTGGCTATTTCCAATCAAGGGAACAAGGAGTAATTAAGTTTCTGCTTAATGCAAACAAAACACGGTGTTTAGCTGAGACTCCTTTAGTCGCGCTCATAAGCTGGCCGGATTTAATAGCGAGGGCAGGCAGTTGATCTCATCAGGATTCCTTTCCATATTACTGTTCTTCCATTAGATTGGCTAATCACTCGCACTGCATGAATCACTCTAATGGGCAGTAGGTAGCACGGCTCGCAGCAGCAGCACATCAGCGATAACACCGGGGCAAAGGTGCAGTTAAAAGATGCTTATTGTTTCCTTTCATTAAAATAATTCAACATTTAGAGGTCCCATTACCAAATATACAAAAATGTAGTGATTGAATGCATTTTTTTTAATGTTTCACTATTTGTAGTTTCAAACATGCATCAAGTGGTGAAAAGACTTCCAGTGTTAATCTATGATCTGCTTGTTTTTAATATAAAAATTGTTTGGCTAACTGAACTTTAATCGATTACTTACCATAAAAATATTAGATAAAAATCCACACTTTGAAAATCTCAGCTGTTGTTTAGGTTCCCTGTGATTCCAGTGAATTTGTGAAACTACCTGCTTGGAATAAAACAGGGCTTTGTAGTGGTATATAAACCTCACAGAAATACATGTCCTCCCCGGAGACCAACAAGAGAAAGAATTGTCAAAGAGAGCTACATACAGTAGCTAAGCGCCCACACCCCCCCACACCCCCCACACCGCCCCACTCCCCCCCCTCTT